CCACCAAATCTAACACACCTATTTCAACTTGGCCACTGTAAATTTCAAGAGTTGTATTAGATTAGCAACAGACTCACCCATTTCCAAGATGACAATAGTAAATGCTAATGAAGTTGGTTAGCTTATTTTTAATAATACTACCCATTCTTCTCAGTAAATCCTAGCTGAACTGAAGATATGTTCAACTAAAGTTTAACTATACTAAATTTAGGTTAATCAATTTTGATCAGGATTAGTAAGACCTCTATATGAATGCATACTCTAAAAATAATAGCAAGTTAAATTAAACATTGTTTGTTTATAGATCTTAATCATTTAATGACTGAACCAAATATGGTAAAATAGATTGTTAATAGATAAAAGCCCTTTAGTTGAAACAAGTATTTTACTAGAATTTTCTTATTTAATATTATTGTATAATTTACTGAATATTATCTAAAAATAGTAAAGGTTTCGACTATATTGATTAAATAATACTACTCATTCTTCTCAGTAAATTCCAGCTGAACCAAAGATATGTTCAACTAAATTTTAACTATACTAAATTTAGGTTAATCAATTTTGATCAGGATTAGTAACAGTAAGACCTCTATATAAATGCATACCCAAAAATAATAGTGAGTTTAATTAAACATTGTTTGTTTATTGTTATGAATCTTAATTATTTAATGTCTAAACCAAATATAGTAAAATAGATTGTTAATAGATAAAAGCCCTTTAGTTGAAACATATATTTTACTAGAATTTTTTTATTTAATATTATTGTATAATTTACTGAATATTATCTAAAAATGGTAAAAGTTTCGACTATATTAAGTAAGAGAATATAGATAACTTATTACTGGTTATCAATAGTTCATTCAATCAGGTGGAAATCTACTATGCTATAAGTCTTCTTAAATCGTAAAGTATAAAAAGATTGCACATTTTATTAAAAAAAAAGATAAAAAGTATTGTTTTTTTGATTATAAATTAAATGTTAAATAAATATCTCATTTCTTGATACAAAGCTTTCTAATATCCACAAACTTTGATTTCATCTTTAACATATATATTATTATATGATTTTAAACATATTATGATTAATATAGAAACTAAAGATGAAACCAAGAAGAGAAAAAATCATGAACGAATAGCTTTACAACATAAAAATCCTCAATTTTGAAGGTCATATAATGAAAACTGAAAAGCTATACAGAAGAAAAAGAGAATTAAATCTCTACTTGCAAGAGATAGTTTTGCTGATAGTTTAAGCATCCCTTTATGTGTTATAAAAGTGGATAGGAAATTTGAAAAACTTAATTAACATCACATTACATGACCTTAACCTATTAGAAATGAAATAGCTAAAGAAGTGTTGTCTGAATTTCAAGATATGGTTAATCTTAGTGAATTGCATGATTACCATGCGCAGTTTGCTCAGAAATTTATAATCACAAGAATTAAAAATAATTTTAGCGTGAACAATTAATCTATCCTTGATTAAAGCACCACTTGAACTTACTGATCCATTGTTCGAAATTAATTTTGACTATAACTACCCTTACATTACTACTAGTCGTTTAAACATTCTCCTTGATCGTTCTGAGTTCATATACCCACCTGAATATCTTGATGAATCTGATAATTCTTATGATCCCTTTCAATTATGAATTTGCTATTCTTGCGATAATTATTTACAAAAATGTATGATTCTACCATTTTCATTATCCAATGACATATGGATTGGTTCCATATTCTTATGTCTTCAAGACCTATCAATACTAGAACAACTTCTCATTTCGCATGTATGAATCTGATACAGATAACGAAAAGAAGACATACTCACCATAAGCTTAAAGGACACATTGTGACATTACCACAAAATCCAAGTTCTTTAATTAATATACTGCCCCTACTGGTATATAAGTTTTGCAAATATATAAAAGTAGTCTTTGTAGGTAAAGGAACTTCTACTCATCACCAGCTCAAAAAAGTGCTCCAAGTCAGAAAAAGCAAGATAACAATTGCTCTTAAGTGGCTTTTTGACTACAATAAATTATTTAAAAATAACATTCAACTTGATAAGAATAATTTAAATAACCTACTTGAAGGAGAAATTCCTGAAGCCTTAATGGTAACAATCATGGTTGTAGATATTGATTTTCATAAAACAGAGCATTATCCCAGCTACACTTGTGATCAGCAAGAATCTGATAGCAAAAGTGATAATAGTGAAAATGATAATAGTGAAAATGATAAACTAGCTAATATTGATAAACATTCTTTAAAAAACTTTATAAGAGATAATTCAATTAATAGTGCAAAAAAACTCAGACCTTCTGGAATAATAGATGTTGATGATGTACCGATTATCAGAAAAGAGCTTACATTGCTCTTTTTCAAAAAGCTTATTGATAAACCAGATTATAATGAGCAATTACCATCGAATAAAAACATGCATAGATTGAAAAGCATTCCAATACAATCACATATATTAAAAGTATTTCATAGCAATAAACCTCTAAATGAATATAAAGACTTAACTCTCCTTCCTGTAGGTTTTCCAGTCCTCTTCCCTTATGGTGTTGGTGGTTACGAAGGTTGATTATCTTGTGTCTCGTTAAAAAAATATGCAAACCACCTCATGCGTCATAGCGATCCAAAGTTTAGACAACACAGGTCATTTTTCTTCATTATTTTTAATATTTTACAGTGGCAAGAAGTATTAACAGAATCTTATAACCTAACAAGAAATAATAATTTCAATTGACTAGCTAATCTAGTATCATCTTTAAAACCTGAAGATATTGATTTTGCTGTTAAACAAGTCCAAAATAATCAATCAATAAGTAACCCTGCTGTTATCGAATTGCTCAAAAATGTCAATTCTGCAAGTTCTAAATTAATGGCATCTCATCAATCACATTCACGCATGTGCAATAAAATATGTGCTGTTATTATGCAAGATGGTACACCTTCATTATTTATAACTATAAATCCTGCAGACCTTCATAGTTCTATTGTTATGATGTACATTAGAAAAGAGATAGATCTTCAAAATCTCTCTCCAAAAAACTTTCCAAAAGCTTCAGAAAGAGCTTGGCTTGCCCACCTTGACCCTATAGCTGTCGCTAAATATTTTAATGTTATTATTCAAGCAATTATAGATACCTTAATTAGATATAAAAGAAAAGATAATGATATATTCAGCTTGATAAGAAATTATTATAGCGTAGTTAAATATCAAGATCATGGTATACTATATTGTCACATGTTTGTTTGGCTTCATGGAGCTCGTGACTTATTATTGTTACACCAAAAACTTAAAACCGATAATGAATTTTGTGAATGTCTTCTACATTATGTTAGTAGTATTGTTCGTAAGGACATTAATTATTTCATGAAGAATAAAATTATTAATGATGCCACTATTAAAGCTAAATATGAAGCTTCTAAAACAATGTTTAAAAAGCGAATGCATTGTTAACCTGTAGTTTTTCCTTTAACTACAGTGATATCAGAAGCTGCTCAACTATAGTATGATGACTATAACTT